GGGGGGGGGGGGGGTACTCTTGCCCGTTTAGGGTAGGCATGTGCCGCTGAGCCTTCTTAACCCTGACCCTGTTCCAGAGTAAAATCGCTGAAATTCATACCCTGTTCTAGAGCAAGATCGCTGAAAATCATACCCTGTTCCGGTATTGCGGAAATGGATACCCTGTTTCATAGAGGAGAGATGTCATATACCCTGTCCCAGAGCGAGCGCGATTTTACATACCCTGTTCCAGAGTAGAATTGCTGAAAACCATACCCTGTTTGGCGGCACGTACCCGTATAGCGAATATAGGGCAGCATCACATGTGATATGCATGCAACCTCTTGACCCTCTTGACAGTTTTCATTCCTAAAACCTAACACGCTAAATTCCAACCTTTGATCAGCCCAGAGATTGTTTCAGGGTTTACTGATCTGTGAGTTCGAAGCCGATAGAAGAGAACAAACCAACAACTACACTCGCATTGGTGAGAGGCGACCACTCTTACCGCTACGCCAACCAGTCCTGCGCTCTGTTATATTTTTACTTCAAAAAGATTCTAATCGCACTCGACCAGCACAAGTTATTATGATAGACACTCCTTACTTGTTTCACAGTTTTGTCCAGTGAAGCCAGTGGGACAAACGCACTTTGCAGTTTTCTGGATGAAGTCATATCGACAAGTCTGTCTCCCCCTGCAGGGGCATGTGTTCTGAAAAGCAAAAAGGTGTCAGTATGTTTATTTTTTGCTTAGTACAGTTAAAGCTAAATACGTGGCGCTAAAACGCAAATGAGGCCATGGTATGCATAGAAGTCTTAATTTCGATCACTTAACGTTGGTAGCCCCAGCTGTAATCCTTAAGCTTCTATGCATGAAAGTCTTATCTGGGGAAAAAATACGCGCTGGTCAACCAAAGAACCCAGAAGCTATGGTAGAGCTATAGACTGGAGCTTTAAAATAACAAACGCTCGTCTGCGTGAGATAACGAAGACCCTCCTATATCACGATATTCTGTCATGAATAAAGACCTAAATATATCGCGTACATTTGCACAATGAGTAATGATGAACTGCTGAAGCAGACGCTGTTTGACATTGCAGTAAATATAGTATAGTGATGTGGACAAGATTTGAGAATCTGCTTGGACTAGACGCGCAACGGATCAGACGCACGATGATGTCGAAATCAAACTTAGCGCGACTGCTAGACATGGTTCTCCAGACACGAGCACCCCGAGAATACCTGTGGTCCACCAGGGGAAAGACGATGATCTTAGAAATAAAGGGTATACATTAACGGCGCATCGCTACCTCTTTATCTAACCACTTGTGTAGACTACGCCAGGCTTTACTTTATAGCCCTGAGGTATGATGATGGTGTCTTAGGAAACAAGGATGCTCGCGTCCGCCGCTAATGCGCAGCTTATGCAACGCCACATCTTTACCTGAGCACTTCTGTAGATGACACCAGGTCTTCTCACCAGATCTTCAGGATGCATAAAGTGATCCGAGTCACTCAGCTCACACATGTATTTCTCTCCACTCGCACTTGTGCCAAAGCTGTAGGAGATACAGCGATCATCCAAGAAACACTGGGATTCGCAGTGCGCATCGTTCGTGGCTCGTACGGTTTTGAAGACGTGATTGGCCAGCGTGTTGTCTTTCATCGTCACTTTGAAATCCATTTCCTTGCATCCACTTGCGGCCAATACTAAAATCCAGATACGACAATAAATAATGTTAGGTTACGTCAGAGGGGCAACAAAGATTCTACCTCTAGAAAACAGGAAGCAGATAGATAGACAGAGCGACAGACAGACAGACAGACAGACACGTGGACAGACGGACAATCAGACAGACAGACGGAAAGACAGACAGACAGACAGAGTGTGTGACTCCTTTATCTTAGTACGGTGGTTACATTCGACTTAAATTGTTTTTCAAGAAAGCCGTATCAATATACATTAAAGAAAGGTCAAATGTATTATAAGATAAATATAACATGTATATAGATATAACGAATAAGATGAAAATACTTAACATCTAAAAATACTACTCAATTCTCTACTTTCACATCCCCATAATAATTTAGTAAAAACCCACTTATTTTGCTGAAGGCTCATCAGACAATGCTGACGATACCTTGTTTGGTATCCAAGAAAACAAAAAGAAGAAGTAAAAAACAGAAAAAGATAAAAGCTTGAAGACCTCAGGTAAATTTTAAGCATTTTTTTGTAAGTCAATACATTTTCTGTAAGACCAAAACTCTTGATGATCTGTACACGCAAAAATAACTTGGAATAAACTGATAATCAGTATTGTACAGATAAAAGCAGGTATAGTGTAAATTCAATTAAGAAACCTTTCAATTTGGGACAGTTTTTTGATTGGTTACCCCCCAAAGACGCAAGGCATTATGGGGATGTAAAAGTAGAGAATTAGTTTTTTAGACAGACAGACACACACACACACACACACACACACACACACACACACACACACACACATACTGGTAGCGACCTCCAAATTAAAATCGGTGTTGGTATCGTACTTGTGTGGAGAGAATTATTTTATGCAGAAACAAGCCATTCTTGCTGCCTCGCTTTGGGTGCTTTTCATGTTTTCAAAAACTTGACCTTGTTAGGTTAACCGTTATTAATTATTGATCTTTATGTTGATCATGACAGTGTGAAAACTCCCCTAGCTTCCAGAAATTATCACGTAATTACGATCGTTTTATAAAAAAGCGAAAAAAATCGCGGTACAAACAAACCATACAAACTGCAGAGTTTGTTAAATCTGTACTAGGAAAAGTCGAATTGGTTTTTTGGCTCGGCCTACCATGGTATATACGCTAGTTTCGCAGCTTTTTTTGGAAAACCTAAATAAATAATTAGGAATCAACTGGGGTTTCACAGAGTCGCTCTTTTTCCACCGGATTCCAATTGAATTTGAAGTTAATTTTATTTTTTGAAGTTTAATAATTTTTGCGTATGAAGTGAGGAAAACCGTCTCCAAGAAGAGAAGATGACCAAGAAGAAACTCATGAAAATATCACAACTCTAGCTAAAAACAGGCATCAAAATTTACCAACAAGAGGTTTTTTCATTAACTTTTTTTGAATGCCTAAGTAAGTCTAATACCCCATTCACACCTAAACGTGTTTAGTTAAACCATGTTTTCATTAGAAAAAAAATTGAGAAACTAGAAACCTACAATATAATGAAACTTTCTAAAATATTGTCAGAGCAAGACAAAGGATGGTTTACATGCATTATTTCACCAAATATTGTGCAGTGTTCGTAGATAGTTTTCCAAACCTGTTTAGTTATAAAAAAAAGTGATACATTATGATAATAATGATGTTCTTGAGCCGTGTGAGTTTCCGAAAAAAAGAAGCGAAAATCAAGAAAGAAAAATTGGATATGCAAATATAAATCAGGAGTATCTTGCCATTATTTTTAAGGTCAAAATTAACCGATAATGTATAGTAATTATCGTAAATAGTTGACACAGAGGCATACATTTTTGAAAAATTTAATTAATTTGCAACGATAATTCACTTTCAGTGAAACTGTAATTATTATTTTTGAATAATACTTAGCTTAAAATTATCGAATTGTCAAATTTCCCTCAAATTTTGAAATGATTTGATTTTTAGGCGTCACCTTCAGCTCTTTCTTTCCTTCATGCTTAAACAACCCCTTTTCCACTCGACGGCAAATAATTCAGTACAATGTCCGCCAATTTGGAGCATTATTTCAAAGTTGTCATTCATAATGAGCATATGAAATGATTAGTTAAAGAAAAAAAATGGGATGACTGTAGTCAGCCTGACATAGCGGTTGTATTTATATCATTTTAAGTCAGTCATATAAACTTAAACTGAATCTTTTTTCCACATCATTCAGTATTATTCAACTTTGTATGATGTGTGAAATCAAGCTTTTTTAGTTTTTGACCCGTCTTTTACCATCTACAATTTGATTATTAAATAGACTTACTTACTTAACCGAAATTAAAATACCGAAAAATCTGGAATTCATTTACCGTGAGGACATACACACCGTATACACTTCGGATCTTTGTAATGTTTCAAACCCTCTATGAAGCATTCATTGACTTCAAACACACCGAGTGATTAAGAAATGAATATTATTTCCACCAAGGGATGATTATATTTACAGCATACGTTTTTTAAAAAAGTGAAAAAAGCGTTGTCGGTGCGAGTATCTTAACTCGTTTTCGGCTCCCATAAAACGACAATCAAAAGTTAAAATCTAATCAACGAATAGAAAAATTAGAGTACGATAAAATAAGCCATTAATGGTAGAGTATTTACCTGAAAAAATTGCTGTACGCAGATACGTTTAAAAAAAAGTCAGTGCGAGAGTCTGAACTGATTTTCGGCTCCCATAAAACGACAGTCATAAGTTAAAAATCTATTCAACGAATACAGAAAAATCAGACTACGATAAAATAAGCCATTAATGGTAGAGTATTTACCTGAAAAAATTGCTGTCTTTGCTTGTAGAGTAGCCAAGAAAAGATAAAAAAGAGTTGATGAAATCATGACCTCTCTCAACAAGACATCCATGCACATTGATCCCTACAAGGCGTAGGCTGTAATGGTGATCAGATTCCAAGCAGGTGAATGAATTAGTATACTAGGAATATTCGAGTGAACCTGCGAGCTTCAAAAACAATACATTGTGGGAGGATCTTGTGGGAGTTCATCTGTTCAAATTAGCTTATTCTATGATTCGACTATAGGGTCCTTTAACAAATTTCTATAACCGTTATTAGGTATTTTGATGACTTCATTATATTTATAAAATGTTTTGAAAACAATAATTAAGATTAGTTATTTCAATTAATCGTTCGTTCGAATAACTTCGAGTTTTTTCTGATTAAATAATTAGAGTGTAAGCCCGGCTAATTTGAAGTTTTGAAAACTCCTGTGTGTCAGACCGTGACAAACGGTTTTTACCACCGAGAGAACGACCTCAGTAAAAATGAACGACTTTAGTAAAAATAACGTCGTTGTTTTGATATCTCGCTATATGTTTTTATTGTCGACATGCAATGTTTTTTATTTTAGCATGACGCGTAGCGCATGAGAGTGTTGTCCCACTGTGCTTTTATAGCTGCACACACACCAGCAAGCAAGTCTTTTATTTCTATTATGAAACGTAACTTAGAATAGCCGTAGTTATTTTCAATGCAACTGACGAAATAGAACTTGCAATTCGCGAATTAGAAAGGGAAGGAAGGAAGGAAGGAAAGAAAGAAAGAAGAAAAAAAGAAAATGAAGGAAGGAAGGAGGGAACGAAGGAAGGAAGGAAGGAAAGAAAAAAAGAATGAGAGAAAGAAAGAAAGACAGCGGAAAGAAATAAAGTACATCTGCGTGCCATGGTACGCGGTCCTTGCCGTATAAAAAAGAATGAGTAACAGTGATCGAGAGAGTTATTAATTATCAGTCTTTTAAGTTAATTTAGTTCTTTGTTTGTTTGACGTCTATTCTGATAATAWGTCTATAAATAATGCCTATTGTTTGTCCATATCTCGTTTGGCAACTCACTCTGACCTTGGAAAAAATGTAGAAAGGCTTGCAAGGAAAAGGGGTGTGGCTTACTAAGGATAATGCTGAGAACATTTGAGCGCAAAAGGCCGGGGGTGTCTAGCCACCACCTTCACCTCCCCTGGATCCGCCCCTAACAGAGCAGAAAAAAACGATCAGAAAAACTAACCAAACAGAACAAAATGGAAGGAAGTGAAACAAACTAACATACAATATTTCACACTGCTGATACTTATATTCGACTCATATATATCTCTCAATTTTGTTTTATGGCATGTCGAGATACTCGCGTAAAATCCCAACAATAAGCCCACTAGCTAGTCTGCTAAGCCCACCTCTGGTATATCTCGTGTTTATTTCATTGAAGCACTGCCTAAAAGATTGTTTTTAAAATGCATTTTGCATATCTTGATGGGATCCCTGTGGAATTGGCGTGAAATTTTACACAAACTTTTGGAAAAGAATTTTTCTTGAAAGTTCATCTTTGAAGCCAATATTACTGCAACTAACTACAATAAGAAGTCCAATATCATATCACTACTACCGCTTTTAAAACAATACATTTTTGGTCATGACAAGTCACACATCAATGAGTCGCGATTCCCATGAGCACCTACCTGAGCAGTCAAGATGGCAACCGAGATCTAATATTCTTCCCGTTTGAAAAAAGCTCATGTGTTTAAAAATCCTGTTTGGACAAATCTGTCGTCGAATATCGTGAGTAGAGTTCAAATTAATAAGTCCATTATTAAGATTGCAAGATTTTCCTGTTTTGAAAGAAAAGAAGGATGATAAAACGATCGATCCTATCGAATCCTATGGCTGACGATACTGTACGTGCATTGAATACAGTTTTAGCTCTGCAAATATGAAGAACCAAACTGTTCTTGATGAAGAACTTACGATGGAAGAACTAACAGATAAAGAAATCAAAACAGTAGAGAAGTTTAACCGGCAACTTTCACGCCATTCGATTCTTAGTATCCGAACCGAAGATGGACTTGATGAACTCGAAACTGAAATTCCTGAAGTTTATGATCGAGAAGCGCCAATTGTAAAAGAAACTATCACTCAAGAAGAAGCTTTTATGATGAAAAACGTTCTCAGAGCTTTTGGATATGTCCAGGAGAGTGAAATTCTAGAGAAAGACACGAAAGCAGACAGAGTAGATGGCAGTAAAATCTATCGCTGGTTTTCTTCGAGTGAAAGTTATGATACATCTTACTATGAACTTAGCTCTTCGCATACAAGTCGTTTTATAAGCCCTGGTAGATTTTACGTTAGCGAAGAAACAAAAGCTATCATTAGAGAAGTCCACCAAAAAATAGTACAAAGAAAGCCATGCTCGAGCACAAGTTATGAGAGGCAGATTCTAGTTAAAGTTCAATCTCAAGTGACGTCGGAGGGTGTAAAATTGGATGACATTGGTATCGAAATGGCTAATGAGGAACTCAAGAATGAAACATCTGGACATCCTTCAAACGGTGTAGGACCAAGTTTTGGTATAAATAATCCCGAATTTTGCGACTCTCGAATCTCCCTGCTCTCAGATCCAAACATTAGTAACGCAAGAAATGGTCACGTTGGATACACCGACCTGTCACGCCTTCCACCAAGAGAAAGATTTCAAGAATTAACACGAAGAGCTTTAGCGCGAAGAAAAGAAGAAGAAAAAAGGAAAAAACGAGAATTTTATACTCGACTCTGGGAAAAACGAGGGAAAGCTGGATGGTTGGATTTGATTTTTACCATCATTGGTTTTGGAGCATTCTTTGCTGACACTGGAACAGACATCAAGGTGGCAAGCGACCATTTCACCACAGGGGACCCCTGGTGGGGGACTTTTACTCTTATACTTGTAATATTTCCTGCAATCCTTGTCAACCTTGTATCTTATTTCTTTTACAAAGAGGATGAAGGTCATGGTAGGGTTCCAGAAAGTGGATGGAAAGCTGTGAAAATCACACACATTTGTCAAGTTGGTTTGGTAGAAAGGTAAATGTCAATTTAAGTAAAAAATACATATGTATTATAGAAAAGAAAGAGGCAAGTTAAGCTTCAAAATCACTGCACCCCAACTCAACATTTTAAAACTGCAACCAAAAATGAGTGAACAATATAAATGTGGAAAAGGGAATTAGAACTGTGTGGGCGAGGGGGAGGGTGTGGGCGAGGGGGAGGGTGTGGGCGAGGGGGAGGGTGTGGGCGAGGGGGAGGGTGTGGGCGAGGGGGAGGGTGTGGGCAAGGGGGAGGAGTAGAATTTACATATGCAGTTTGAATACTCGATCTGTTGCTCAGGGTTGGTCTTGATTTTGTGTCTAATATTCATCTGTTCCAGTGAAGAGCCATGGAATTTCAAAGTGTTAAGCTTGTGCATTCTTTACTTTACCATTTTGGTATTTGTAAATATTTTAACACTGAAATAGGGGTGGTTTTTAGAGGTGGGATAATTTTAGTGGTGTACATTGTCACACTGATGATGACTACCCTATCCAAAGTCAATTAAGCTTGAGATGGGGAGGGGTAGCAGGGCTTGAAATAGAAAACTTTTTTAGCATGCCATATTAAAGGAGCATGGTAAAAGGAAATTCCAGTTCCAGTAAATTTTGCATGTCATTTTATTGGCCATTGGCAGGCCGCTATTTCGAGCCCTAGGTAGTAAGGACGATAGTGGCTTTTTCATTGGCCTAACTTTTTCGTAATAATTTCAAATTAGAATATCCCCCAAAAATATGAAGATCTTCTCCTTCTTGTCCACATACTCTAACACTCCTCTTCCCTTACTCAAAAAAATTATTAGCGATCAAATTGAAGCTGAATGACCTTTCCTGTTTAGGTATTGGCAAATCTTAGTAAAAGGATACCAAATCAAATTCAAGAAACTACGAGAAACACTCCATTATGAGCTATACATTGCGATGAACCTTGATGTAGCCATGTTACAAATGATTCTTGCATTTACAGAAGATGCTCCTCAACTGGTTCTTCAGTTATATGTTCTCATTCGAAGGCATCTTGTAGAAACACTTCAGACTTCACGAATACAAGACCTGTGGACCATAGCATCGATATTCTTCTCATTTATCTCTTATTCACGTGCCACTGTTAACTATATCTCATGTTTAAGAAACTCCAAAAAACACAAAGGTGTCTTGAGGTGGTATGGATATATTTCTATGCTATTGTGGAGGTCCTTGATGTTTATCTCTCGTATCTTGGTTCTCGTGTTTTTCGCCTCGGAATTTCATATTTGGTTCTTTCTAGTCCTATTCCTGCACTTTGTTATTGTTTTTGCTTTAATGAAGTCCCAGAAAGTCGGGTTTTTTCCAGGACAAAAACCAATGCAGTTCTTTATCCGAGTCGTCATTGCATACATTCACACATTTTGCTTTTTCGTTCTCGATGCAGCAAAAACAATAAAATGGGCGATCATTTATTATAGCTTGACTGCCATTGAAGCAATTATTTTTTGTTCTCTGTGGTTTACAAATGCATACCGAGAGATTTCATTAAAATTAGAACTGGCTGGCTTGTCAGTCATTTTCATATCCTACACACTTGGCTTGTTAATGATGGTTGTCTATTATAAGTTCCTACATCCAAAATTCAAGCGACCTCAAACGAAGTGGTACACAAAAAAAGCGATACCAAAAGAAGAACTCTGTGAAGAAGTTGAAGATGAGGAGGAAAAAGAAAACGAAGAAGAAGAAAAAGAGCAAGAAGAAGGAGAAGGTGGTGAAGCTGACCAAGTACAAACAAACTTAGATCATTTAGCAAGGAACAGAGCCTCAAATATTGTGAAGCAATTTGCAGTATGGGTTTGACATTTTTTTGTTTTTAGATTATTAATATTTAGAAATGATGAAAAAGTGGAAATTTTAAAAGGAAAAAAATGAAAAATTTGATTGTCTTGACCTGAGAGGATAAGAAATGACAAAGAAATGGCTCTCCTATTATTTGGATTTATATGTATAATCTTTAGATATGTTGCATGCACTGTTTGGCTATCTGTGCCGTATAGGGCAGAGGCAATAAAATCGCTTGATTAAAGGTGCGGTAATTAATACGACAACAAAGTGGTGCATATTGTAGTGCAAAGTTATTGCATTGCAAACTGCATAGCAAATGCTGGTTGCCACTCCATGCGCAACAAATTTTCGTCATTGCAAAAAGTAGACAGGTTCAAGTGTACTTCACAAAACAATGCAAATTTGTTTCATGCCTAGTATGTGGCAATACAAGCATCATTTGCTCTGCAAATTCCAGCACAACGTTGCGCGACAAATTATTTGATTTTGTTGCCCACATTACTGTGTGGATGCTTCACAAGGGCGGATCCAGAATTTTTTGAAGGGGGGATCTCAGGGGTAAATTTTGTGGGCAAAGGAATCCCAGTCGCATTTTTGCCACAGGAAGCCCATTTGACCTCAGGAATGACCGGGGAGTCGCGACCCCCCCGACCCTCCCCCTGGATCCGCCCTTGCTTCAATAAGATCACTTCGATAAACTAGTATCATTAACCAATCATATTGCAACATTTAGTTCAATATTACATAGTTTAATTTAGTTCAACCAGTCAATCAGATAACCCATTTGATGTAAATAAGAGTGTGAGATAGTAATAATCTGATTGGCTAACACTGCTATCAGTTCAATTTTTGTCTAGTTTGCTGTTATTTGATTGGTCAGTGGTCCCCGTTAGTGTGTCCACAAATAGCTTTTACTACTTTTGCAAAGATCTTTTTACTCTTTTCCCATTTTGGACCATGTCTCATTCTCTTGAGCAAAATTTAAAAATGGGAAACAAAATGGGGATGGGATTTAATTCCAATTCAATTTATTAAAAATAGAGGTCAAAATTAATGCAAAGTTTATAATTATTATTCTGAGTCTGCAAACCAGTTGCACACCAGAATTAAGACATTCCCCCCCAAGCATGTGAAGGACTAAATCAGAAATTATTCTAGTCCTCTCCTTTTCAGTTCCTTCCAGTTTTTTAAAATCATCAGTGTTTTGTACGGAATAGGATTTTGCAACGTTTTGGTCTGACAAAGAAGTAATATTCAAGAGGATGACTCATGGTCTTATTGTGTGAGAGAGAAAAAGATGACAGTGCACCCCAGTCCCATTTATTCAGACTGCTTAGATATGGATAGCAGTTGGTTGAATTGTTCCTTTCTCACATAAGATATTATTTTAGTTTCGTGGTAACATATTTGATACATATATATGGTATTGAAATTTTCATAAAATGATAGTAAAATCAAGGACAAGGCAGAAAAACAGGTTCTACTTTCGACGTTTATGCGTTAATAAGCTTTATATTTCATAAACAGGCTCTTTTAGGGCTTATTAACAATGTATACCAAAATTTGGGGAAATTTAAGGAATGCGTATTTGAGATATAACGCCCTAAACRTTGGGAGAGATGATATTTTAATCAGCACAAAACTAACATTTTCCTAATACCTCGAAGTAGAATTGCTCAAGGTTAGCAGAATTTTGTGAAAAGTTTAAAGCACAAGAGACACGAATGAAACACTAAACGTTTTTTAGCATGAATGAGAGATAAAGAAAAAAAATGTGAAAGTAGCAGCCTTGTCGTTTTTCTGCTCTGTCAAAATCAAGCATAGTTCAGAGTTTTAACATTTCATGATCAAAGAAAAACCCAACATGGGACAGATATAAATTAATAAAAAGTTAAATAAATTAACTAAAATCCAAGAATATTTATTTTTGATATAAACGATAACAGTTATATGGCGATAATTTTTATTGGCAAACCAAATGATACATAATTATTTATCAAATAGTAGCATTTAAATAATTCATTAGGTTGCACATTTCCAATCTATTTAAATTTTAATTCGTTTGATCATGGTATTTCTTTACATTTTTCACCTCATAAATCTCAAACTTACACTTGTTTGTTGTTTTAATTTATTAATTTTCCCCACGACACCAAAAATGCAAAGAAATTATAAATACAATGATAGTTTTGAAAAGCATGTAGAATGTTAATTGTAATACAAATTATGAAGAAAGAAATATAGGAAGCTTTCGTGCCTTATACGATATATATAATATTTCTTTAAATACGCTTATGTTTAAATACGAGTATACAATAAAACTTGAGAAATTCAACCCAATCAATGCAAAAACTAAACCAAATTATTAATTGATGCAACAATATATATTCAACTTTGAAAATATTTTTAAAGCCAAATTTTGAATTACGAAATATATTTACATCTGAGAAATTCTCATTCAGTCTTTGAATGAGGATGGTATTGGAGTTGTAAAGCGCTTTGGATGACAACAATTTCTAACAGAAGTGAGCCAAAGTACCAAAGAGGTGCGTAATCAAAGGTTATAAGCCCCATGATGTTGTAGTAGGTGTAGCCACTGTAGTCCCATGGACATGCATTGAACTGTCGTAGAATCAATCCAGTGGTAAACTCCCAGAAATATGTCCAAACAAGGTAGATTATACCTCGGACGAAGAGGTTGACTTTTCCATTTAACGCCAGGAACATTAACTCGATCACATAGGAGGAGATAGAATAAATGGGGAAGGACCAGACAGACGTACAACCATGGAGTTTCCATCCATGACGGTATCGAACTGAATCCACAAAATACCAGGTCGCTGTGAACATTACTTCGGCAAATAACCCTGTCAGTCCATAAAGAACAAGTTTGAAAGCAATTGGGAGGCATTTTGGGTTGAATTTTAAGCCACTTGTGGATTTCGATTGAGGGTAATCCTCGGCCGATTTTTCTTCGCCATTGCTCGCCATGTCGAAATTGTTACTCGTTTCTAAAGCGTCTTGTAGATCAAATTCCTTGTCTTTGTCTCTCTTTGATGTTTTATAGATCTTTAAATTCCTGATTGATGAAAGGAAGGGCTTCTAAATTTGTCGGATACTAGAAAAAAATCAAGAAAATGGGTACTMAAGCGGTATGATATGACCTGGCTTCCTCAAACCGGTACGCGGTGGTATCAACAAATCCCAGCAGCCTTTTCACACTGAAATATTTTCTGCTTCGGGTACCACATGGTGCAAATATACCAGTTTGTTTACATGTAAAATTTATCAGAAAAATAAAAGTGTCATAAAATAACATTGAATTAAATTAAAGAAAAAAAGAAAACAGAATGAAAATTCAAATCCCACAATACAAATTAATTTTAAATTAATGAAATTCCATGTGATATTTCAAGATCATTTTGCGTGTCAAAGTTATTGAATATATTTATATTTTCCTGTTGCTTACCTTTCCTTTAAGTAAGCTCTTATGTTTTTTTAAGCCGCAGACAAAGAATAAAACTTTTTTCTGTCTTTTCATTAAATTCATTTACTTTTATTTGTCTGGGTTTCCTGTGTTATTTTTAAACCACAACCACTGTCCCAAGACATCGCGGGCTTACCACGTGAGAGAATTTCAAAATGGCGGACCAAAGTAGTGTGTTTTGATTCTAAAAATTTTTTTCTATCATAAAATATGAAGAAACCAAAGCAAATCTACCACCAGAGGATTAATATTGATGATTGCTATGTCATAAAGTTGAAAGGCAAGAATTGCAATCTTTATTTTTGCGTTCTTTTTTGTAGTTTGCCATCGTTTGCGATACTTTTACTGTGTGCGTTTTTTCCCCCAACATGTATAATCATGCTATAAAATGTTTGTAACTTCAGGAATGATTTTTTGCAAAAGAGGAGAAGGGAAGGAAATTCAGCTTAGCACTTTAGAACGTTCAACGTATATACAAATCTAATTCCCAGGGGGGTAGTCAGATTGTACTTAATTTGTTCTATCTTAATATAAACGTTTTCCATTGCTGCCATAGATTTGCAACATAAATCTTCTATTTCCTTTATTGATCTGCTCTTGAAATGTTTGAATGAGATCGACAGCATAAAACAGACAGCACTATTAAAGAAGGTGAGAAATGCTTTCTAAGAGGGGAAAAGAATCATCATAAAGGAGAGAAAAGTGAATTTATGAAATGTGTTTTTGTCCCTCGGTAAAGATCTATATGTTAAGTGTATGCTACATCGAKTGTATAAGCAGATTAAAAAATCTGCCTCAGTTGGGTTCTCGCGGGAAAAGTGAAAAGTGGTTTCAAAAAAAAGACAGGGACAAGGGAGAAACAACAACGAGAATATAGGGAGAAGGAAGAAGCCAACATTTTTGTTTATAACCGCCACCCAGCTAGCTCAGTTGGGAGGAGCGTCGGTCTGTTGTGCGGGAGGTCGTTGTTCAAGCATCGGCCGGACTAACACTCAGGGTCTTAAAATAACTGAAGAGAAGGTGCTGCCTTTGTAATTACATCTGCAAATGGTTAGACCTTCACCTGGCTCGGATGATCACGTTAATGGAGGTCCCGTCCCTAATTAACTAGAGACGTTAACAGAGGACCACAAGTTTATCAGTTGAATTACTGTCAAGTGTTATCCTCTATAAACAAAGTTAATTTTTGTTTAAGTAAAAGCTGGATAAATTAGGGAGGAGGAAGGGAAATAATGCCAAATGAATAGGAACGGAGAAAATTTGAAATGCCTGATTTTCTCTGCTCCTTTAAGTGTGCATGATTAATAGCTTATCCAGGAAATTTATGGGAATGGCAAGATAACCAAGGGGAGGGGGGATGATGGGGGAATTGAGAGAGGAGGGGGAGACTTTTACTGCTAGCTAGGTTGCTGATCATGTAAATTATAAATACTCATATACACATAGTTAATATTTACAAGGATATCACTTAATTAATCATATGCAGTGGGGAAATAGTGCATGGTATTTTTTTCCTGCTTTATGCATTGATGTATACATACATATTATCACAGATAGGGAGTGCATTTAATGAAGTGACACTCGAAGAGGATATTACACCTGATGCTAATGTCTGCCTTGAGGTCCTCACTGAAATATTTGTTGTCCTTGACTTCAAAAACCCAACAAGAAGAGCACTGGCAAGGTGATAACATCAAAATATTAGTAGTTTATCTGTATAATTCCTTTGAAGTTAGATTAAAGGGAATAGAGGTTTTGCACTTTCACATGCTTGGGCTGCATATGGTTAGATTTCAGAATAGTAAAATCCCAGGGGGGTACTCCCCTATATTCGTTATATGGGTACGTGCTGCCAAACAGGGTATGGTTTTCAGCAATTCTACTCTGGAAAAGGGTATATAAAATCATGCTCGCTCTTAAATAGGGTATATGAAATAACGCTCTCTCCTCTCTGGAACAGGGTATCCATTTTCGCAATACCGGAACAGGTTATGATTTTCAGCGATCTTGCTCTGGAACGGGGTATGAATTTCAGCGATTTTACTCTGGAACAGGGTCAGGGTTCAGTGGGCTCAGCGGCACATCCCTGCTCTAAACAAGCAAGAGTACCCCCCGGGAGTAAAATCTGCCATCTAACATGGCTGCATGATGTCATATGGTGGTGCAAAACCTCTATACAAAAGAAATAAATAACCTTAAAATAATCATCATGCTCGTTAAATTTAAACTCTGGTTGAAGCTTAATTGAAACATTAATTTTTTTGTAATAGAAGTCCAAAATTGAGTTGGAACTATAGTTTCATGGTGACTGTTTCTTGGGGGAATTTGGAAATGGTCTACTAAAAAGTAACTGCTCATTTTCAATTGATACCATTTATCAATAAACCCCAAGAATTATAGGATAACAATAAATAAGTTATAATATACACTGTACAGGATTTTTTAACATTCTTTTTGCTACAATCTATTATAGCTTATTTGACAGCCTTCCAGAGTCATTCTATAACACTGCATCAAGAAGCTTATCTTCATCAGTGATCAAAAAGCTACAAGACTATGAAAATAAAGTAACTGCAGATGTAGATTTGAGGCCAGCTATTGATATGGTGTCTTCCCTCATGGAAAACTTTAATCTTGGTAAGCAGCTATAACTATTATAATATAACACTAATGTCAAAATGTTTTGGACGTTTCGGACGCTAGTCCTTCGTCGGAGTAAAAGAGGAATTGTATTTATAATAATATGCACAAGCAACTAGCTTGGTTCAATCTGCAGGATGAAATTTTTATAATGTAAGCAACATTTTTTCTTTTTGATATACTTTAGGAAATGATATTATCAAACTGAATGGTGAACCAGGTTAGTAAGGTTTTCAAGTTGTACTTTCAGTCAAGACTTTTAATTCTCTAAAATACCACCAAAGTCTTCAAAAAATCTACTTTCTCTCAAAAATCCTACAACGTAAATTTTCCTTGCCTATCCAACCCTCTTTTTCTCTTAAATCTATCAGCATTTTGAAAAGTTCAGCTGTAAAGCTAAAGTTGAGTGGAAAAGAAAGATTGATTGAGATAAAACCTCCAATTCTGACATTTCTACTGAATGATTATTAGTATCGATAATCCTTATGCTGCATATAGTCACATCCCTTATCACTTACTGTCCCTAAGGGTTAAAAGAGAGTGTTACTGACGGTTTTCTTTGGTTTACAGTATTGAATTTCTTGGCCACTTGCCTTCAGCATCTAGTATCTCGGGCAAGGTATATATGATTATATGTGCACATAAAATATTTATTAATATTTAATAATACTTGATTTTTTGGGGGGCCTCCAGTAAAAACAAATGCATACCTTCACCTCACCAGCACAAGCTCAAGAATGGACTACTTCAGTGATATGCCAGTCATCTTGGCTCACAATGCATTATTGGGCATGGGAGGGCAAAAAGCTTCAATACAGTAATGAGGTTGGTTGTTATTAACAGCTCGCCAAAAGAGAACAACAAAATATAAATTAAGACGGCACATCAATCACCTTAACCCATAAGAGAAAGACAAACACACAAAACACTAATATATTTTCTGTCATCCTCATTTTGTTTTGCCTCCTGACAAGATGGCCTCCATATCATCAAAATAGTCCATTGCAAGTTGTTTGGCATCCTGGGGCAGTCGTGTCTTAAGACTACAAACAGTCCTTATTTTTTCGTAGTCACTTTATTTTTCATCGATCCATCGAGCATTAGGGACCCCCTCCCCTCAGGAGGAATTCTTTCTTGGACCAAGGGAATTACAATCTAGGTGTGTTTGTACAAGTTACAAGTATGTGAAATTATCAGGGGCAAACACCTACTAGCCTTCCTATCTTCTTCCAAAACAGTCTCTTTACAGGCCAAAAACATTACCAATGAAATATTACGGTCCAATACATATAATGTATTATTTTTCTGTGAACTGTTATGTTGAATTTCTAGTGTTGCTGAAAACCCAGTTGACCAGACCACAAGAATGATGGACTGTTTAGCAACAATCAAAACGGTCATTGCTGTCCTGCAAAAGAACAGCAACAAGATAATAAAAGAAGCCCAGTCTAATGGAAGCAACTTGCATCTTTGGGTCGATCATGTGAAAGGAATCATGGAACAACTTATGCAAGTCTTAAACCAAGGTAATCATTATCATAAAATATAAATTATTAATTTAATGAACGTTTTGTTCAAATGGGTTTTAAATTTTTGGGAGAAAGGGTCACAGTCTTTTAGTTAGCGGGGAAATAGGCAAGTACAGTATCTTAAGGCCCTAAAAAGGTAAAGGTAATTTATTTTACTTCGATAATGTGGGGAGTGGTTGCCCAAATCTCCCATGCCAGGGGCACATGTTTAATGCGCTTGAAGGTGCGCCCTCTACCTCTTCTTACTATCAGTGCTCCTTTTTAGGGGTATTTAAAGCTAATTAAAGCTACACAGAATAGAGAGAAACAGGTTCATGATGATCGAACTATATATGGACCTCTAGATCTGAAGGCTGTGTACTAACCAACTGAGCTACGCCTGCTCCTGCACTAAAATAGAACTGTACCAATATTGAACCTATTTAAAAAGGCTCAATTGGGTAACCACTCCCCAAGGTTTTGTAGTAAAATAAATTACATTTTCCTTTTGTGTTTGAAAAATGAAATAAAAGTTTTTCCCCTTTCATATCTACATGTATATATCTTACTGTAGCATGCCATTTTAGATACTTGCTATTCTTGTGCTGCATGTGACATCACAAATTGTTACTATTTGTTGACTTTGAAAGAGGATTGGATCTTGGTTTTTGGTATTACATTATAACCAACACCTTTGATTTGTGTTTTCTTATTCACAGCAGCAGGGATGCACACCACCAATAATGCATAGGGTGCTTGTACGTACTGTATACACTTTAAATTTTCTTTCTGTTTTTTTACAGAATTCTTGCCAGACTGCCAAACAGCAAGCGGAATGACCCTTTGTCTAATTGTTTATTTGTTTAGTAGACGAGGATCAGTTGCTGAAGCGGTAAGAACAGAAATTTAATAGTATTATAATTAACAATATTGTATTGTTATAGAGCAGATTTTGTTTGACTGTGAAACATTATGGCACACAGCAAGGCCATATTACAGAATAGAAGATATACTTTTAATCACAGCTCTGCAAGATTTATTACCTAATCAATGTCATGCTCAGACATGGTCCTAGCATGCCACAGCACCCACAGTCCATGGTTATTGCGCAGATACACATACCATAATGGTTATGACACATTACAACATTGCAGACATCCTTTGAAACAAAATCTGCTGAGATCATGCATTGCTCAGCCAATGAAAATGTCCAGACCTGGTACCATCACAACCATAACTACATAATCATAAGAAAATTGTTAATGATAATGATATGGTCGGATATGCGGATCACGCTGTATTGTAAATCAATTCTAATTTTTTGGGGTAGGTGTTAGAGACTGTTTTTCCCCACCACGCTGAACAGAACAAACAGCAAACAACTACTCCAGATTGGATAACCAAAGTATTTCAAGCTAAAACATGGGAAGGTAAAATCTGATGTAGGATGTTTCAATGTTACATTATTACATTAATATTGTTAGTAATATTGAACAAATGTTTTTTGCTTTCGTCAATCAAAAATAATCAGTCAGTACCCTTTATGTTCTTGACTGGCGGCAGTGAAAAACCAATTTCACAACAAGCCGTTGGAATATCTGAGTTCTCAGAATATCAATCAAACTGCAGTTACTGATTTACTTTGGAATCTAATGGTTTTTGTTTTATTTATTTATTTATTTATTTAATTAATTAATTATTTATTTATTTATTTATTTATTTATGTTTTTTTTAAATCATTTTTTGCAGTTCCCATCAGTTATAATCAGCTTTGTTTATGCCATGGCGTGTTGACTATGATCCCTCTGGAAGATCTTCTCAGTCCAATATCTCATAAGGTACATGAGAAACTTTAGAAAACCCTTGCTTTATGACTGGCAATTGCTTGCTTTCAATAGACACCACTTCCGGGCATATTTGGAATTCTTAGACCAGATGAATGGATGTGTATTCAGTGACATAAACATTGCACTGTACGACCACCCCTTCTCATTTGAAAAGATGTACTTCTCCCAGTGGCGGATCCAGGATTTTGTTCAGGGAGGTTTGCTGCGCACAAATTTAACCCAGGGAGGGGTACACCCCTTAGATTCAAATAGAATATGGTTTTCTTCGAAGTAGGGGCACAAAGTGGAACCAGGGAGGGGTGCGCACCCCCTGCGCCCCTTCCCTGGATCCTCCCCTGGTCTTCTGAATTGGAATCGGTCATCATGTATGTGGTTTTTGAATGCAAATTTTAATTCTAATTTCCCAGGATTCCAAGGACATTAATTTACAGGAAAAGCAAACGTTGATGTTTGATATGGTCTTCCCTGATCTGTGCCAGTTGTTAGAAAGGTACTAACAGTCATCATAAAACTATTGATTGAAGGTTTGGCTACACTGAGAAACTGTACTGGAATGTTTAAGTACTAACAAAGACAGGCTGGTAATAAATTTATCCTACAGGGAGATAGTGAGAAAGGAAGATAGGGAAGGAGAGAGCAAAGAAGGGTAAAGAATTGAAGATGAAAGAGATAGGGAGGGAGGAAGTAAAAAATGGAGGAACAATTATTGAAGGAAGGAAAAAAAGAAGGAAGAGGGATAAAGGTTCAGTCATTATCCTTTAGTTCATTTTGACTTTTTTTCACCTCTCCTTTCAGTTTGAAAGACTCATTTTCATGTCTATCAGCCTTCAAGGTTATAACATTGTGGGCAGAGCAAGCAAGGTGAGTCTGTCCTGCATGTACCTCTATAGATTTTCTATTGCTAGACTCTAGTTAGCAATCAAAATATGATCATGTCATTTGAAGTGCTTTTTTCTTTCTCAGAAGAGCAGCAGAGCTTCATCTCGTGCCATATCTTCTGAAATCTCTGTTAACAGGGTCAGCAGTAATTCCTCAGAAGTTACTGTCATTTGTGTGGGATTACTGGGACCATCCTGTTGAAGTAAGATGTTTTATGATTGAAGTGTGGTATTGTTCGTTCATCATGTTTGTTCATCATTTCATTTATATATTCCTTTGAGCCATTCATTCATTTATTCATTCTTTCATTTATTTATTTATTTATTCATTCATTCATTCATCCCATTCATT